AATTATATCATCATCAAAGCATCTGATTAAATATTAAGATAAATATTCAGCACGGTTCAGAACGAAGATATTTGGAGTTGATTAGTTTAGGACAGTTGTGACAGCGACGCTATAGCAACGGCTCGGCTTGATAACGAATAATCTCAATCAGCAAGTTGATTGAATGATTGAACAGAACCAGTAGTGCTCGCAAACGTGATTGTATAAGTAAACAAACTACATTTCACTTAGATGGAGCTATTCTGACACTCTGATATATTGTTGGGTCACATGTTCTGTGATCTTTAAATATAGGAAAATAATTATTCTACCAGATTATCCAAAAAGTATGTGTTGTAAGAAACACATACAATAGTTTACATACCTTTTTTATTACAAATTTTTAAGTGGCTTTAAATTTGTTGCGTGAAAATATAAAACCTAAAATTCAGTAACTTGGACGCTCTAATGTTGAATAATTTATATTTAAAATTTAGAAATTGTTTCAGTTTATTGTAGTGAAATGTTTTGAATAATTTTTATTGAGACAATTATTTTGTAACATATCATTTAACGTCACTGGGATCGAAGATCATAACCGTATAAAAAAATGATTTTAACATTATATTGAATGACTCATAGATAATAATTGAAAGAAATTAGTCTCTGAAAATATTCAGAAAACCTAAAAAAGTTAATTCCGCAAAATTTTATATTATTTGTTTATCTATTTAGAAATACCTACCTACCTTTTTGACGACAATTTTGTTTCACGAACAGAAATATTATTTGAGCTCGTTAATTTTGAATATAATAAAAACCCTTTCAACACGAATTAACCCAAAATTTGTACCGCCGTTACATTTTATACCAATTGATATTCAATAAAGTCAACATATATTTTCATGTAAGCTGTCAGTTAATTGCCAAATGTCGTTAATGTACTGTTTGATAAACTCGTAATCCCCGTTTCGGGGACATAACAAAGTAAAACGTTCATGTATACGTTAAACGAGGAATAAGTGAAAATTTGGTAGGAAAAATTATGCAAATTACTACCGAATGTGGAAGAAGGCGGGGTAATGGTCGTACAGGAAATGTATACGGCTTAAAAATAGGCTTCACAGGTACCGTTCGGAACGGAATCTTTTATTCGTGAACGACATCGAGCGTAACGTTCTGACATTAGGACATTTACATAACAAGTTCTTGAACTGACTGCAATCACATCTGTTATTTAAATTACTATATTAAAGAACAAAAAATAATACAATTTTATTTAATAAATATATTAGTTTTACTTTCGTCATTCTCTAAAACTTCCCTCCTCTTGTCATTATTCTCTATCCTTTGCATGACGTGTTAGATACACTTTGATTAAAATTTAACTAAGCTAAAATGAAGATGAGTCAGGCAGACCAGGTCCTTTGACAACTCCTCAGATCAGTTTCCATTGTTCGAGCCAGTCATGTCTTACCTAACATGTGTTAGTTATATATTACTATCATTACAATATTGTTAAAACTAAAAGCATATGTTATCAAAGACTCGCGAGTTTTTAAATGACACTAATATTTTTCCGATATATACTTTATCTTATTATTTGTTTTTGTAAAACAAATTACATACTTTTTAGCAACCGTGATCACGTTGCCAAGTAGCTAAGTCAAGAAGAATTTTCAGGAGTATGTAGTTTAAAAAAAAATTAATCACGCGTAGTATATACGAAAAATATTAGTTTCATATAAATAAGACCATAAGTTATTTAAATTTAAGTTTATAAAAGTATATTCATATAAAATTAAATAGGCAATGAGAATGAAATGTACCCTGAATTTACAAATACATAACCTACAGTAAGTATAGATCTATATGAATCACGTATATTTTTCAACATAGAAAAATATATCAATTTGTAACCGTCAAAAACAGCATTCCATTTCTTTCTACAGATAACAGAGTCATTGGTTTCTAAAATGTTTGCGTCAAACACGTTGCCTTCAAACGATATGGTCCAAATTACAATAGCTATCACAAAGACAAATAGCCAGTGACGGCTTGTGGAAGGGACGACGAATAAATCATTGGACGGAAAACGTCAATATCTTTACAAAATACTGTTTAAAACCAGTGTAGGTATATGCTGGTTAACGCTAATCACACGGTAGTGATTATGAAGAGAGTGGACAGCCAGCGTGGCTTCACATATTAATGACAGAGCAAGCAGATTTTGTCACCAATTTAATTGATGTTTTACATCTATACTGTATTTTACAGTCATAAAAAACTCAGAAATATAATTCATATTTTCTATAACAAAATCAAAATATTCTATTTGCTATATCGACGTTTTTTAAGTGTTATTTTTCCAAGATGACTTGTAAACATTTTTCACCCTTCAAACCAGCTAAACTGGTAGGACAGTGTTATTTTTTGGGATCGAAACTCATTAGTATTCTTAAAAAATGTTTTAAAAATTTTGTGAATGACTCGCAAAACGGCAATCTTCCTCAACTAATTAGTAACTAAACAAAATTAAATGTTAATTCAAATTATAATTTGTTGGTAAAATACAAGTGTGTGACTTCTTAATGGCAATATCTAAACATGAAGACAATATTTATGTATTTTTAAAACTAAATTTAACCTAGCCAGATTTTAAACACCATATCATAAGAATAGCTATGATACTTTAACTTTTTTACGAAATATAAAGCGTTTTAATATACATAATGGGTTGTGACTTTGAATTTATTCTGTTGCTTATATATTGAATTGCAACATATAATATATATTTTATATAATGATATATGTTAAATGTATTAGAGTAGTAATTTATGCTCACTGTATTTCCCTGACAAGTGGTATAAATCGTTGAATTCAGGTCATCGTTCGAGCGGTTTCAATTAAATCCAACTGTAATATGACACGTATAAATGACATGCTTAAAAACCTAATGAGGCGTGGAATTAAAAATACTTGAAAATACATTAAAATATTGAAAAAACAGAGATATATTGTACGGTTATATGTTAAATAAATTATTTATAAGAAGAGAACGGGATTCAAAGAGATGCTCAAATGTTGTTTTTGTTTGACAATACGATAACCATCTATATAAATAAGTCAAAAGAAGCATTCAATCATTGATTTTTTTGCCTAAGTCACTTTGGTGATGATAATGTTGCACAATAAACTCTATTAGTATACAATAAAGGTGGTTATCGTTTGCATTGTCTCGCACAGCGACTGGCAGACTTCCAGAGGATTCAGTGTTGAACTTATGGAATGGAAATAATACTTAGAAAATGCTTGTTGATGACTTTGTAACTTTGCTCTCCTAAATAAAGAAGGAGCATATGTATTAGAAATCATTCCTTATATATCCTTTTGTCTGGCTTTTGTTCGGGATGCTATTGAACACACGCTAGATATTTTGATGCATACTCAATATGATACACATCATATCAATGTACTATTAATATTCACCAATTATATATATAATTATACCGCAGCTAATGGGAAATTCGTCTATATTTTTTGAATGCCTCATATACAGAAAACTAAATAGAAATTAATTATTTTTTGTTTACTAGGTAAATATATGACAAAACGAATTACTATCATAATTAGAGCATATATACTTACTATTACATGAAAGCTATAAATAATTTATATATAATAAATTTTTTATTATATTTAATTGATTGAAAATGAATATACCACAGTATATTGTTTATTTGTCAGCTGAAAACGTCGCATTGATCAAAAGACACCGATTGCTTTATGATACGGAGTTACTGAAATACTGTATAATGATCAAATCTCATGCTGTTTTTTCCTCTGATATGTAATCTGTACTCGTATTATTTTTAAATTGACGAATGTATGAAATCCGGTGACAAAAATATACATATGATTCCGATCCGATGTTTCAAATAATAATTTCTTTACTAAAAAAAATTTAAAGTTATAATTTTAGCCAACTTTGCCTAGCAAGCTAACCTTTTCAGCCAGATATCCTGATTATCCGCCATAGATATTTGTAAATTCAGTATTAACTAAAAGGAAAGGGAGGATTTATTGTTATATAGCCTAACTTTATTTTCGTCACAGTAAATAAATCCGCATCTAAACAAGTCCAATCGACACAAGCGTTTCGTTTCCGAGCGACAGCAGTCTTCGTATCTGCGGTAACGTAACTTGCGACCTAGCGCCGTGGCTTACCCCATTTATTTGTCACAGAGCGTACTGTTCACAGGACATTTGTACCGGACAAGCGCTGAAGCGCTACAATTCAGCGGCCTTCGATATCCATTCGTTTGATTGAAACTGATAAATGCTTGATGGACTCGACTTTTAAAACCTCTGAATAGTTTATTGATCAGCGCTCAATTAAGTTGATGTTGGTGGTTTTTTGGGCCGCACTCGTTATAGCTTACGAATCACGCTCTTCAAAGGACGATAGTAAATGATGCAATACAACCAATTATATATGTATGTTCAAAGAATTCCAAATAATATATAATAAATAAGCAATTAATTATCTATAATATAACTGGGACAACATAATTAAATAATTAAATTCGATGCTAAATTCTGACAGGTAATTAAATATTTTATACAACAATATTCAGTAATAATTCCAATTTATTTATTTTACTATACATTCTATTTGGAGCGAAATATTTTTGTCCGCGTACTAAATAATGCCTAATTGGTTATATTGTTAAAGTGATTAATTGTAATAGCACTTATAATGAGATGTATGAAACCAAAATATGTGGGAATGTTAATATAATATAACACCGAACCGATAACATTCAGAAATACTTTAAATGATCTGACACCACATTGAAATTAAAAACTACAATGAAATATGAAAACTTGCAGAGTATGTTCTATAGACCGCGTAGTTCTGATTAAGAACTTCAATGTCTTATCAGACTTATGTAATACAAGATTTCCATAGACCGCGTAGTTCCCAGGTGTTGATAGAAGTAGGTATAAGCGGTACATACCTGCAGATGCAGCGAGCAGGCCGTGTGCACGAAGCAGCGCTAACGCCAGCAGCAGCAGAAGCGGACGGCGCCGCATACCGCGCGACGCCGCACCCGAGCCCGCCTCGCCCGCGCCCACGGAAACTCTCGCGCCCACGCCAGTGCCCACGCCCACGCCAGCGCCCACGCCAGCGGTCACGCCAGCGCCAGCGCCAGCGGCAACGCCTGCACTAGCGGCAGCGCGGCGCCGCCGGCCGCCCCCGCCCTCGCCTTCACCTGTAAATAACACATCTGTTAAAAGATGAACCACTACATAGAAAAAAATTAGCAATTTTTTTTAATATATACAAATCAATATATAAGGGATTTTTCATGTCTGTACATAATAATTTTATCGGAACGCTTATTATAATAATAATAATTTAAAAATCGTCAACATCGTGTTCAGTGACTTGAGATCGTTAGAGCGAGACATTTCTGTAATAATTAGAATATAAATTGAACGTAATTGGTCCTTAAAAAACCTTTTAGGAAAAAAGCTCAATAGAATCAATGTTTGTCTAATTACCATTCATAAAATATCAACTCGGAGGAAAATAAACATCGAGCAGCATCAGACAATTATTGGAATATTAAAAAATGTATTTATAGTATAACGTTTACAATATTATCTGATGAACATTGGAAATTTCCTTTCTCTGGAAGAGAGGCTCGATTTTATCATAAAAAAGCTGAGAAACACAAATAGACACCTAATCGCTGTACCGATCCTTGCCTCTCGAACGGAAAAGTATTGTCCCGAATGAAATGTGTCGAAGGGAACATGCTGCGGAAATATAAAGATACTCTCATCTAAAGTAAAAGTTAAACAATACGGTTTTTCCCTCATTTAGGGACACAATTTCCTTTAAGGGAAATCATTTTAATCTTACGTTTATGAAAACATTGACTTTAATAAATTTTAATATATCCCAAATAATAAACATAAAATACTGTACTTTTTTATTTTTCATCATCATTATAATTTTGTTTGTTTACATATCTTTACACTCGACACTTACAAGTACAATTTTCTTTACTTCTCAACATTTACGGAACAACATTATAACTTCCTTGAAGTACAATGCTGTGAGGTCTCAGATAAAACTCTTAGACCGACCATCAGTACGGTTATATCCACAGTCGGATAAAAATACGTTCCAGCCAAGTGCAAATTACTGTACTAGTGCAAGTTGAAACACACTTACAGCTCCATAAACAGAAGTCAGCTGAGACCGAGTTACTACTCAGTTGACGGTAATGTAATTGCAAATGCATTGCTGACTTTACCTCGTATTTAATTTGAGTAGCTCACAGTTTCGTCGAGTAATATAAAGTTTATCACCGCAAAATATTAGCGCGATGCTTTACTTAACTGCAAATCAACATTCTCACATTCACTGTATGAGATGAGACGTTATAACAAAATGAAAAGGCACCAGCGGTCTCTAATATGCCAATAACGAACATAAAATCAATTCGAAGTGCAGAATCGTCGAAATCTCGTTAGGAATAAAACAATAATCGTATCCAATCGTGTGATAGGACAAAAAGTTGTAAAGTGGAAGCGATTGTTCTCGATAAATCGGCTCGTAAAGTGACAAGCGTTCTTGCTTTGTGAGTCCAAAGTTAGATATCGGGACCCGAACCATTGATATCCATTCCCTTTCCCATTTCTATTCTGGTATAAATGTGAGATTTTTGGATAAAAATACTATCTTGATACAGAGAAAACGAAAACTGGTTTCAAACTTGGGAAGTGTATTGATGATTTATGTAGAATATGGACATACGAAAATAAAACACCTCCAAGTCCGCTTCGTGTGCTGTACTACTTGTTTATATAGATATAAGATGTTCCAAAGACTATTCTGACCTACCTACAATTGAGTAGGATCTGTGAGATGACATCAGTGCAAAACTTTCCTAATTACACCGAAGAGCACTCAAAACTCGGGAAAAACAATAAAAAGAGAGGATAATCATTATTATTAGAGAAGTTCAGGATTCTGTAATAACGCGATCGAATGTTGAGAGCCGATGTCGGTGAATGTATTGAGCGGAATGTAATTAAAAACTAATAAACATAGTTATATATAATAAAATACGGACTCATTCAAATATAACTATATATAAATGTTATATTTATCAGAATATATTTCAGGTCTCTTAATACCAGATCTTTTAAATTCCATCACACGGTAAACAATGACCGTTCCATTTTATTTTTCAACTTTATCAACAGTCCCTATTATTTGTTTTCAACAAACGCCAGACTCACATTTTCTATTAAAACTGAACGTCCAACTGTAGTAGCCAATATTATTTTTACATTCGCTTTTACATTTCCTATTATTTTATTGAAATACATTTTTTTTATTTCACTTTACACAGGCGTTCTCGAACAATTCTGTTCACCAACAATCGGATCTCGATGTGATTACATCAACTGATGTTTATTATAATAAGTACTACAGAAAATAAAACATAGAAATAAATGTATCTAATTATAGATTTCTATAAATTGAAATATTTTTATAAACAATACTTAGTTTGACAAGTTAGTTATTATTCACAATGCACATATACTCGTATGTGACAGAAATTTAATTTCGAAATGAAATATTTTAACCTAAATACTTAGTGTTTCTTCAAGTACATTAACTTCATGTTTGCTATACATACTTTAATATATTAGTATAGTCAAATGTACCAGAAGACCTGTCAAAGGCGAGCCATGTATGTATATTTAGAGCTTTTCAAAGGCTAAATCTATACACTATCAGAGGTAGTAATCAATCCAGACAAGTTGGATAGGACTCATCCGCTAATGGTCTCTGAATAATGAAGCTCTGTGGACTACCGACACACTACCCTTATTTGTAGAATGACATTTCAATAAATAAAACAATTATTTTAATCTTAAATAACAACCTTTTTGAAACAATGTATTGTTTAAACACATTTTAGTCTCACGAATATAGGATTGTTTTATCTTGTTTCTGTTTACACGATAAATTATCAAATAATTATTGTAAATATTATCAGGAGCAGAACATATATACACACACACGTATAAAACACTTAAAACACTATGCTAAACACGCGACCGCGCTCGCAAACTCAAATACTACTGATAATTTCATCATTATTTACATAGAAAATGAAGTAACTAGCTTGTTTACACAGTGTTCGTAACGCCGCGCGGTACGAACAAGTTCCTGTGAAACGAATCACGTAAGACGGAACGGAACAATGTTTGCTTTTATCTCAACAGAGGTTACACTCATGATACTGTGTACGTGATAATTATATTATCTTATTTAATTTTGTTCATTGACATCTCTCTACCAACATTTATTATATAATTTAACATAAACATATAAAACCGCAAAAATTATAGCGAACACATAGAACAGTATTTCTCGTGCTCACTATTCTGACTTACTTATTATTCCAAGCCATACTTCTGTTTGTGACTAAAGCAGGTCATAATTTTTTTACAATTTCCGTGTTTTATATCAGTTGCAGACCATCTCATTTTCATGTTAGGAATGCAGGATCTAAATACTACACAATAATATACAAAGACTTGACGAATAACAAACTTATATTCTGATTGAAATCATTAAGGAAGATATAAATAAATGGATAAAATATAACATGTACTTTGTTTGAAAGGGTTTCTTGATTCAGAAGCTCTCTGCTAACTTTACATTGAATTATACAAACAACGACGAATTATTCAAAGTGCAAGTTACATCTTTGACGTCGGATTCTGTTTGAAAATATACTTTGTTAGCTCCAAGAAAACAAACATTACATTCACTCATACACCGATATCCTTGATAATCATGTTTTTGTATTCAATTACATCAAACATATTTATTATTTTAATGCAGATAAAACTACGTTACAATAAAAGATTTGATCAAACTATTGAATCTCTTCCTCTCTCTGACACATAACTAGCTACCGTAGTTATGAGTATTAATATCGAAAGAAGTAGAATAAAACAAAAATCATGTAATAATAAATGAATCCGATTACCGTCATTACAAAAACATGTTGGTTCTTGAAGCCTCATTATAACGACTCGGAGCTGCTCCAACTGAAGATTAAAATATGTATAATAATCACATCAAAGAGAAAACGCTGACATTAATTGCTGTTAATATTTCCATTTATCCGACGTTTTGTTGCTTCGAGTTTTCTGTGCTAAAAGGGGTTCTCATTTTTTAGCTTCCGCCCGCGACTTCGCTCGAGTTATATTTTAATTTCCACTTAGATTAAATCTACTAAAAATAATATTATCTTTTTTCAGTTCTGAGTCTTGGACATACAGACAAAAATGCTTATAAATTCATGTACAAGATTCTATGTCGTTGCGGATTTCAAAACTGTAAAAGTATAATTAACAATTGTTTTTTCATTAAAATTCTTTATGAGAATAAATTATTTAAACTGCTCAGTTAGCTGGCAAAATAAAGACAAAATAAAACGAGGTAGAAAAGTATAATCATTCTTGAAATTAGAGCAATCTTTGCTGGCGACATCTTTAATAGACAGACGCCCTGTGATTATGTGCGGCCATTACATTCAGTAGCGGATAGCTTACCTTTACAGAAATTGGAATATTTTTTAATTAAATTAAACATTCGTCTAAATAAAGTAAAAATAAAGATATTTTTCTTTGATAAATTATATAAACTATTTAAAAAGTATATCAGATATTCACAATCTATTCTAAATTAATAATTATTGCTTACGATGTAGTATCAAGAGTATTGTGTTTCCAATTATATTTGGTAGCGACGATTGCTGACTTGGATTTCAATATAACTACACTAATCATATGTAAGTTTAGTAATTAAATATGATTGGTATTAATGGCAGGCTCTGTCTATTACTTCTTGAATTACATTACTTTGAATATTTTATATTATACGGGATTTCTTGTGGAATTGCTAAAATATCTGCGTATGTTTCCTAATCTCTATTAATATTATAAATGCGAAAGTAACACTGTCTGTCTGTCTTTTTGTTACGCTTTCACGCCTAAAACACTGAACTGATTTTAATGAAATTTGGTACAGATATAGAGTTGACCTTGAGAAAGAACATAAGATAGTTTTTATTCCAGACTATTGAAAGGTTCTCTTGGAAACGCGATATAACCGAACTCCACGCGGGCGAAGCTGCGGGCGGAAAGCTAGTATTTAGTATAAAGATGGATTGTAACAGTTTACATGATCTAACCTTATTATCAATTTCATAAAAAACGTCATATATAAAACTCTTTTGATGGAAATATTGTAATAGTTACAGCTTTGTTTCAAGTTTTTCCAGATGTATAATGGATCATTGAGCTGATGAGGCTAGTGGGTCCAGATGAACTCCCACCAGCCTTCGTGTCAGCCGGTCATTACGCACCGTCAGTACTTAATGCGCGTATAATTATCAGTCACCGATTATGTCCTCTTATTATCCTCTCACGGCGAGTATTTTAATAATTTTTATATTATCTCAGCATCCCTGTTGCGGATTTGGTTAAGTTCCATAATAATTTCCGGCTTGTTGCGTCGAGATATCAAAATATTTATGAATTTATTTTGAGTTACGGTCTGAGTTGGCTCGTGAAAAGCGAGTTGTGGAATGGTTATAAACATAGCTGGTGTTCTTTAATGTTTACTGATTACTGTGTATTTTAAATTAAAATAATTAAATGATAGAAAAAAAATGTAAGTAGTCGCAGTTCGTGAGGGCGCCGTAAATTGATGGTCGGCTTATTTATTTAGAATTCCTTTTGTCGGCACACCTGAGTCGGATAATTAATGCAGCGGCAGACGGTTATTGATAGCGGTGAAGCCGAGGTCGTGGATCTAGATGTAGTGTATACACTACCTTATACAGTGTAATGTGGTGTATACACTATATAGTGAGTGAATCAGAAGACAGGTGAAAAAAATATTAAGGATCTTTTGATTTGTTAATGGTTTGGCCTGAGAAACTGAGAGAAGATTTACATTTATAAATTTAAAAAGAATTACATATACAATTTCGTTTCTATATCCCAGATTAATTATATTAAAAATATTTTATTTTAAATAAACCGCTTTAAACATGGAGATTTTATATATTTTTTACTTGTTTGTGTATTTAAAAAAAAATAGTTTTACTTTTGACTACAAAAATTTAAACCGTTAGTAGTTATAATAAAAACATTCAACAACTTTAATAATGTAAAAGTTAGCTGAAGAGATATTATTCTATGAAAT